CTTGAGTACGATCAAGAGCAGGACAGCGGTCCCACTGAAACTTCTTCAGAGGCTCCTGGGGCATATGCAGCCGCTGTGAAGCTGCTCGGATTGCTTCATATGAGGCCGCTTCAGCACTGGCCTCACGTCCGGAGATGGGCGTGGCAGAGCAGCACGTACCGGGTGCACGTCACCCCGCACTGCCTCTAAACCTTCAGCCTGTGGTCGGACCCTTCGTTTCTATGGGCAGGTGTTACCCTAGAACAAGTGTCCAGGCATGCTGTGGTCTTCACGTACAATGGGGATGCAGTTTCAGGTCTGTGGATGGGGCCTCAACTGCATTGGCACATCAACTGCCTTGAGTTGCTTGCAGTATGCCTTGCGCTGGACCGCCTCAAATCGCCGCTACAAGGCAAGCATGTACTGGTCCGTACAGACAGTACTGCGACCGTTGCGTACATCAACCGGCAAGGTGGTCTATGCTCCCCTCGCATGTGGCAACTCGCCCGCCATCTCCTCCTTTAGAATCAGAAGCATCTGAGGTCGCTTCGTGTCATTCACATCCCTGGCCGATGAGCTTTCACGGCAGTCTGCGCCTCTGGGAGAGTGGCGACTCAATCCCCAGGCGGTCCAGCTGATATGGGACCTCTTCGGAGCCGCACAGGTAGATCTTTTTGCCTCTCCAGACTCGTCCCACAGTTGTTCTATTCCCTGACCAAGGGGACCCTAGGCACAGATTCACCTGGCACACAGCTGGCCCCGGGGCCTTCGCAAGTTGGCGTTTCCCCCAGTGAGCCTTCTCGCACAGACATTGTGCAAAGTCATTGAGGATGAGGGGCAGGTCTTGTTAGTTGCGCTGTATTGGCCCAACCGAACCTGGTTCCCAGAACTAGTGCTCCTCAGAACTAGTGCTCCTCGCAACACTCCCGCCCTGGCCCATTCCTCTGAGGAAGGACCTGCTCTCTCAGTGACGGGGCACCCTATGGCACCCGCATCCAGACCTCTGGAAACTCCATGAGTAACTGGTCCCTGGACGGGATGTGGAGGTTCTAGGTGACCTACCCCAAGCAGTGGCAGACACCGTCACTTCAGCTAAAGCCCGCTCTACGACGCGTCTCTATGCGTTGAAGTGGAACCTGTTCATTGAGTGGTGTTCTTCCCACCGGGAAGACCCTCGAAGATGCCCGGTCAGAGTTTTGCTGTCCTTCCTGCAAGATGGGTTGGAGCGAAGACTGTCTCCCTCCACCCTCAAAGTGTATGTTGCTGCCATAGCCGCACATCACGATGCAGTTGAAGGTAAGTCGTTGGGAAAGCACGATCTGATTGTTAGGTCACCCCCGCGACAGTCAGACGTTGCGGAGCGTGAATACATGTGTATTCTTCCACGGTCCAGCTCCTCTGCGGACGAGCCCGTGTCTTTCCCTCAACAGAGTCCGCTCAGTCGTCTCTGCTGGTGTTCTCCCCCCCCCCTAGAACTAGGCTGCAACCACCCCAGAGACTGTCATATGTTGCACTACCCTGCTCGGGCTAATCCATATGTGCCTCCCTCCGGGTTGGATGTGGTTTCCGCAGCGTCCCCTTCCTTCAGGGCACGCTTTCCCAGCGTTATCCACTTGCGGAACAGCAGTGACTGACCTTCTCTGCTTAGAGCTCCTAACTTCCGCCCCAGCACTGTGGTCAGGCCAGGAGACTCAAGCGGAGCGCTGGAAGAGCCAGCAGCAGCGTATTGGTGGATATCCCTGTTCTGTCGGATCATCTCTGACGTACGTAGAGAGTGACCGACTGAAGGGGAATGGCTCGGTTACATATGGTGACCCTCGTTCCCCGAAAGAGGGAGCGGAGCCGTACATCCCGTCGCCACGGTTTCTGAACCTCCGCTGTACAGCCGAGTCACAAGTCCGGCTCCTCAGCGGAAAATCAAGGCAGAGCAGCTGTTGCAAATTATCGCATGCCAATGTGGATTGGCTGGTTTAGTTACACTCGTAGTGTATTGGTCTCTCAAGCGAGATCCGCGTTCTGTCGGATCATCTCTGAAGTACGTCTCTTGTTATTGTGTTTCTCAGGAATGGCTTGTGGATTTAAACAGCTACCACCAGCTACCATCTGGAGATCCTTGTTTGTCCCGTCTACCTCGTGGCCATGGCTGGACTGATCAGCGTTTGAATGTCTTTATTTTATTTCATTGTTTTCCCCTAGAACCTTGTAATAAATATATATTTTGCAATCGCTGTTTTTGTTGCAGTTACAAGCCGAGTTTTAACATTGGTGGAGGCACAAAAAAACATGCATAGAGAAACATAAATTTGACAGGAAAAAGTAAACATGGACTACAAAATAATCATTTATTAATATTTTCAGTGGTTCTCTCTTGTTTTTTTGTATGTGTTCATAATTTCTGTCCAAAAATTATGTCAGCAATGTTTCATTGCGTTATTATGACAAATAAAGCAACTGACTCCAAAAATATTGTTAAAAATGTGAATAAAGGGTGAATTTTTGGACATCACTTTGGGCCACGACTGTAGATGTGATTTGTTACTACTTTAGAGGAAACCCCCGTTGGTTTCCATGCAATCTGACAGAAATCAACATGGCAAAGAGTGAAATACACGAGAACGTATGAAAGACGTTTACAGACTCGTCTTCTGAATCGTCCCAGATGATGCACTGTTTATCTGTGAATGGATGTTGTTGGTTTAAAGAGAAGTGACACATTTTACCCTCATAAGGGTTTGAGAACCAGACATAAAAAGGCAGAAGTAGTAGAAATAACATTAGATACTATTTATACATTCACCTCACTGTGCAAATAGTCACTACAAGCTCATTTTGAACATATGTGGGTCAAATTGACCCCTAACCCAATGAAAATAGGTAGGAATGATTCACTTTCTCACATATTTTATCGGTTAAGTCTGTCAAGCTACAGTAGAGGTTCATGTTTTTACATGAATATTTAGCGTTTTTCATAAATGTCTATTTTTGTCCATTACATGGAAAAGGAGGTCGGTCTATTTGACCTGCAACAGAAGAGTTCGAACACAACAGGAGGGTTACTGAGCATTATTCAATGAGCAACGGCTCACTTCGGCGTCACCTGTGTGTGTGAGCTTGACGGCGGAGTCACCTGTGTGTGTGAGCTTGACAGCGGAGTCACCTGTGTGTGTGAGCTTGAGCGGAGTCACCTGTGTGTGTGAGCTTGAGCGGAGTCACCTGTGTGTGTGAGCTTGACGGCGGAGTCACCTGTGTGTGTGAGCTTGAGCGGAGTCACCTGTGTGTGTGAGCTTGACAGCGGAGTCACCTGTGTGTGTGAGCTTGAGCGGAGTCACCTGTGTGTGTGAGCTTGAGCGGAGTCACCTGTGTGTGTGAGCTTGACGGCGGAGTCACCTGTGTGTGTGAGCTTGAGCGGAGTCACCTGTGTGTGTGAGCTTGAGCGGAGTCACCTGTGTGTGTGAGCTTGACGGCGGAGTCACCTGTGTGTGTGAGCTTGACAGCGGAGTCACCTGTGTGTGTGAGCTTGAGCGGAGTCACCTGTGTGTGTGAGCTTGAGCGGAGTCACCTGTGTGTGTGACCTTGAGCGGAGTCACCTGTGTGTGTGAGCTTGAGCAGAGTCACCTGTGTGTGTGAGCTTGACGGCGGAGTCACCTGTGTGTGTGACCTTGAGCGGAGTCACCTGTGTGTGTGAGCTTGAGCAGAGTCACCTGTGTGTGTGAGCTTGACGGCGGAGTCACCTGTGTGTGTGAGCTTGAGCGGAGTCACCTGTGTGTGTGAGCTTGAGCGGAGTCACCTGTGTGTGTGAGCTTGAGCGGAGTCACCTGTGTGTGTGAGCTTGACAGCGGAGTCACCTGTGTGTGTGAGCTTGAGCGGAGTCACCTGTGTGTGTGAGCTTGAGCGGAGTCACCTGTGTGTGTGACCTTGAGCAGAGTCACCTGTGTGTGTGAGCTTGACGGCGGAGTCACCTGTGTGTGTGAGCTTGACAGCGGAGTCACCTGTGTGTGTGAGCTTGAGCGGAGTCACCTGTGTGTGTGACCTTGAGCGGAGTCACCTGTGTGTGTGACCTTGAGCAGAGTCACCTGTGTGTGTGAGCTTGAGCGGAGTCACCTGTGTGTGTGACCTTGAGCAGAGTCACCTGTGTGTGTGAGCTTGAGCGGAGTCACCTGTGTGTGTGAGCTTGAGCGGAGTCACCTGTGTGTGTGACCTTGAGCGGAGTCACCTGTGTGTGTGAGCTTGACGGCGGAGTCACCTGTGTGTGTGAGCTTGAGCGGAGTCACCTGTGTGTGTGAGCTTGAGCGGAGTCACCTGTGTGTGTGAGCTTGAGCGGAGTCACCTGTGTGTGTGAGCTTGACGGCGGAGTCACCTGTGTGTGTGAGCTTGAGCGGAGTCACCTGTGTGTGTGAGCTTGACGGCGGAGTCACCTGTGTGTGTGAGCTTGACGGCGGAGTCACCTGTGTGTGTGAGCTTGAGCGGAGTCACCTGTGTGTGTGAGCTTGACGGCGGAGTCACCTGTGTGTGTGAGCTTGACGGCGGCGTCACCTGTGTGTGTGAGCTTGACGGCGGAGTCACCTGTGTGTGTGAGCTTGAGCGGAGTCACCTGTGTGTGTGAGCTTGACGGCGGAGTCACCTGTGTGTGTGAGCTTGAGCGGAGTCACCTGTGTGTGTGAGCTTGAGCGGAGTCACCTGTGTGTGTGAGCTTGAGCGGAGTCACCTGTGTGTGTGAGCTTGACGGCGGAGTCACCTGTGTGTGTGAGCTTGAGCAGAGTCACCTGTGTGTGTGAGCTTGAGCGGAGTCACCTGTGTGTGTGAGCTTGACGGCGGCGTCACCTGTGTGTGTGAGCTTGAGCGGAGTCACCTGTGTGTGTGAGCTTGAGCGGAGTCACCTGTGTGTGTGAGCTTGAGCGGAGTCACCTGTGTGTGTGAGCTTGAGCGGAGTCACCTGTGTGTGTGAGCTTGAGCGGAGTCACCTGTGTGTGTGAGCTTGAGCGGAGTCACCTGTGTGTGTGAGCTTGAGCGGAGTCACCTGTGTGTGTGAGCTTGAGCGGAGTCACCTGTGTGTGTGAGCTTGAGCGGAGTCACCTGTGTGTGTGAGCTTGACGGCGGAGTCACCTGTGTGTGTGAGCTTGACGGCGGAGTCACCTGTGTGTGTGAGCTTGAGCGGAGTCACCTGTGTGTGTGAGCTTGACGGCGGAGTCACCTGTGTGTGTGAGCTTGAGCGGAGTCACCTGTGTGTGTGAGCTTGAGCAGAGTCACCTGTGTGTGTGAGCTTGAGCGGAGTCACCTGTGTGTGTGAGCTTGAGCGGAGTCACCTGTGTGTGTGAGCTTGAGCGGAGTCACCTGTGTGTGTGAGCTTGACGGCGGAGTCACCTGTGTGTGTGAGCTTGACAGCGGAGTCACCTGTGTGTGTGAGCTTGAGCGGAGTCACCTGTGTGTGTGAGCTTGAGCGGAGTCACCTGTGTGTGTGAGCTTGAGCGGAGTCACCTGTGTGTGTGAGCTTGAGCGGAGTCACCTGTGTGTGTGAGCTTGAGCGGAGTCACCTGTGTGTGTGACCTTGAGCGGAGTCACCTGTGTGTGTGAGCTTGACGGCGGAGTCACCTGTGTGTGTGAGCTTGAGCGGAGTCACCTGTGTGTGTGAGCTTGAGCGGAGTCACCTGTGTGTGTGAGCTTGACGGCGGAGTCACCTGTGTGTGTGAGCTTGAGCGGAGTCACCTGTGTGTGTGAGCTTGAGCGGAGTCACCTGTGTGTGTGACCTTGAGCGGAGTCACCTGTGTGTGTGAGCTTGACGGCGGAGTCACCTGTGTGTGTGAGCTTGACGGCGGAGTCACCTGTGTGTGTGAGCTTGAGCGGAGTCACCTGTGTGTGTGAGCTTGACGGCGGAGTCACCTGTGTGTGTGAGCTTGAGCGGAGTCACCTGTGTGTGTGAGCTTGACGGCGGAGTCACCTGTGTGTGTGAGCTTGAGCGGAGTCACCTGTGTGTGTGAGCTTGAGCGGAGTCACCTGTGTGTGTGAGCTTGAGCGGAGTCACCTGTGTGTGTGACCTTGAGCGGAGTCACCTGTGTGTGTGAGCTTGACGGCGGAGTCACCTGTGTGTGTGAGCTTGACGGCGGAGTCACCTGTGTGTGTGAGCTTGAGCGGAGTCACCTGTGTGTGTGAGCTTGAGCGGAGTCACCTGTGTGTGTGAGCTTGAGCGGAGTCACCTGTGTGTGTGAGCTTGACGGCGGAGTCACCTGTGTGTGTGAGCTTGACGGCGGAGTCACCTGTGTGTGTGAGCTTGAGCGGAGTTACCTGTGTGTGTGAGCTTGACGGCGGAGTCACCTGTGTGTGTGAGCTTGACGGCGGAGTCACCTGTGTGTGTGAGCTTGAGCGGCGTCACCTGTGTGTGTGAGCTTGACGGCGGAGTCACCTGTGTGTGTGAGCTTGACGGCGGAGTCACCTGTGTGTGTGAGCTTGAGCGGAGTCACCTGTGTGTGTGAGCTTGAGCGGAGTCACCTGTGTGTGTGAGCTTGACGGCGGCGTCACCTGTGTGTGTGAGCTTGAGCGGAGTCACCTGTGTGTGTGAGCTTGACGGCGGCGTCACCTGTGTGTGTGAGCTTGAGCGGAGTCACCTGTGTGTGTGAGCTTGAGCGAAGTCACCTGTGTGTGTGAGCTTGAGCGGAGTCACCTGTGTGTGTGAGCTTGACGGCGGCGTCACCTGTGTGTGTGAGCTTGAGCGGAGTCACCTGTGTGTGTGAGCTTGACGGCGGCGTCACCTGTGTGTGTGAGCTTGAGCGGAGTCACCTGTGTGTGTGAGCTTGAGCGAAGTCACCTGTGTGTGTGAGCTTGAGCGGAGTCACCTGTGTGTGTGAGCTTGACGGCGGCGTCACCTGTGTGTGTGAGCTTGAGCGGAGTCACCTGTGTGTGTGAGCTTGAGCGGAGTCACCTGTGTGTGTGAGCTTGAGCGGAGTCACCTGTGTGTGTGAGCTTGAGCGGAGTCACCTGTGTGTGTGAGCTTGAGCGGCGTCACCTGTGTGTGTGAGCTTGACGGCGGAGTCACCTGTGTGTGTGAGCTTGAGCGGAGTCACCTGTGTGTGTGAGCTTGAGCGGAGTCACCTGTGTGTGTGAGCTTGAGCGGAGTCACCTGTGTGTGTGAGCTTGAGCGGAGTCACCTGTGTGTGTGAGCTTGAGCGGAGTCACCTGTGTGTGTGAGCTTGAGCGGCGTCACCTGTGTGTGTGAGCTTGACGGCGGAGTCACCTGTGTGTGTGAGCTTGACGGCGGAGTCACCTGTGTGTGTGAGCTTGAGCGGAGTCACCTGTGTGTGTGAGCTTGAGCGGCGTCACCTGTGTGTGTGAGCTTGACGGCGGAGTCACCTGTGTGTGTGAGCTTGACGGCGGAGTCACCTGTGTGTGTGAGCTTGACGGCGGAGTCACCTGTGTGTGTGAGCTTGACGGCGGAGTCACCTGTGTGTGTGAGCTTGACGGCGGAGTCACCTGTGTGTGTGAGCTTGAGCGGAGTCACCTGTGTGTGTGAGCTTGACGGCGGAGTCACCTGTGTGTGTGAGCTTGAGCGGAGTCACCTGTGTGTGTGAGCTTGAGCGGAGTCACCTGTGTGTGTGAGCTTGACGGCGGCGTCACCTGTGTGTGTGAGCTTGAGCGGAGTAGGAGTCACCTGTGTGTGTGAGCTTGACGGCGGAGTCACCTGTGTGTGTGAGCTTGACGGCGGAGTCACCTGTGTGTGTGAGCTTGACGGCGGAGTCACCTGTGTGTGTGAGCTTGACGGCGGAGTCACCTGTGTGTGTGAGCTTGAGCGGAGTCACCTGTGTGTGTGAGCTTGACGGCGGAGTCACCTGTGTGTGTGAGCTTGAGCGGAGTCACCTGTGTGTGTGAGCTTGAGCGGAGTCACCTGTGTGTGTGAGCTTGACGGCGGCGTCACCTGTGTGTGTGAGCTTGAGCGGAGTCACCTGTGTGTGTGAGCTTGACGGCGGCGTCACCTGTGTGTGTGAGCTTGAGCGGAGTCACCTGTGTGTGTGAGCTTGAGCGGAGTCACCTGTGTGTGTGAGCTTGAGCGGAGTCACCTGTGTGTGTGAGCTTGAGCGGAGTCACCTGTGTGTGTGAGCTTGAGCGGAGTCACCTGTGTGTGTGAGCTTGAGCGGAGTCACCTGTGTGTGTGAGCTTGAGCGGAGTCACCTGTGTGTGTGAGCTTGACGGCGGCGTCACCTGTGTGTGTGAGCTTGAGCGAAGTCACCTGTGTGTGTGAGCTTGAGCGGAGTCACCTGTGTGTGTGAGCTTGAGCGGAGTCACCTGTGTGTGTGAGCTTGAGCGGAGTCACCTGTGTGTGTGAGCTTGAGCGGAGTCACCTGTGTGTGTGAGCTTGAGCGGAGTCACCTGTGTGTGTGAGCTTGAGCGGAGTCACCTGTGTGTGTGAGCTTGAGCGGAGTCACCTGTGTGTATGAGCTTGAGCGGAGTCACCTGTGTGTGTGAGCTTGAGCGGAGTCACCTGTGTGTATGAGCTTGACGTGTCTCTGCAGGTATCTGTCGATCATGAAGACCTTGTTGCAGCCGGGATGTGGACAGGGTCTCTCCCGCACCTCCTCGTGATGCTCCTTGATGTGTTTCTGCAGTGACACACACACACACACACGCACGCAGTGAGTGGAGCTCGTGACAGCAGTGGGCATGTGCTTCAGGAGAGCGCACCTTCATGCCGTCGGCTCCTCGGTACACCGCTGTGCAGCCCTGGTGAGGACACTTGTAGATGGTGGGCAGCTCCTCTCTGCAGGCAAACACAAGGCTGAAGAGGAGTCTACAGAAGCACTCTACACATCCTTCTCCTCACTACAGCCAAGTCCTTGACCGTATTCAACAGACTCACACCTCGTGTCTCGCACGGGCACCTGACTGCTGAGAACAGCCTCTCTGCTCTCTCGTTTCGTTGAGGTCTGACACTTTGTATTGCTAGCACCTCTGGTGTTTATTGCCTCCTGTTTTTGCCTGCCTCACATTTGCAAGTCGCTTGTAAATCTGCTAAAGAAATGACTTGTTTGGTTCATGTCAATCGTTCGACTCTTTCGCCCTCAGAACTGCTTCAGGAACTGTTGGTGAACACACACTGAACAAAATTATAAACAACACTTGTTTTTGAGCCCCATTTTTCATGAGCTGACCTCTGAAGATCTAAGACTTTTTCTATGTACACAAAAGGCCTATTTCTCTCAAATATTGTTCACAAATCTGTCTAAATCTGTGTTAGTGAGCACTTCTCCTGAGCCGAGATCATCCGTCCCCCTCACAGGTGTGGGATATCAAGATGCTGATGAGACAGCAGGATTACTGCACAGGTGTGCCTTAGGCTGGCCACAATAAAAGGCCACTCTAAAATGTGATCAGAGGTCAGCTCATGAAAAATGGGGGCAAAAAGAAAAGTGTTGCGTTTATAATTTTGTTCAGTGTGTGTTCACCAACAGTTCCTGAAGCAGTTCTGAGGGCGAAAGAGTCAGAAGTCAAGCGATTGACATTCCTTTAGCAGATTTACAGATTTACGTGTTACAACAAGTATCCGATTCCTGACCTCTTATTAATTAATCCGGAAGAATCACATCCCTGTTTATTTTGCGGTGCATTAATGACAAAAGCAGTTTGAAGAATCTGTCTACAGAATGCATGGATTGCCCAATCACAGCCGAGGATCCCCGCGTGTGTGTGATGTCACTCTACCGCTCTGACTTGATGCTGTTCTTCCAGCCAGGCTTCGGCCCAGGCTTCCTCCGGGCTTTGGGCTCCAGTGTCTTGGTCTCTTTCCTCTTTGAAGAACTGATACAGTGGAAAGAATGAGAGAGAGTTCATTTCTCCGTGATTAATCAGCTGAGACGAGATGTCATATCCAGCATGCAGTGACAGGCGGCGTCACTTCAGTTTATATGATCATCTGAGGGTTATTGAGCTATTTCAGGGCCTCGTTTATAACCGTCACACACACACACACACGCTGTAATCTAAAACACACGTGACGGGAGAGTGTGTACGTACGCCTGCGAGTCACTCTGACCCTGCGTACGAACATCAGAGACGAGCAGTTTAACGACACCGATGGAGATCTGACGGAAAACCACTCTAATATTCATAATCATATACAGTGCATGTTCACAATAACAGGTTAAATAAATAAAAGAATGATTTAAAATATGTTTTACATCTGATAAACAGTTGCAGTTATAAGCACTTTACATGAAATCATTACTGAGAAGTTACAAAAATATCTATATTCTAGTAAATAGTAATGAGTGTGTGCGCTGCTGTTGAACACTCCTGCTGTGTGTGAGTGTGTGCTGAGCGCAGGATAACAGCAGAACTCGGTCTGAGGGAATATTTACGCTAATAATGATCAATAAGGCCTATCAGTTTCCATTGAAAATACTATTTGGCCAGTGTGGAAAAGATTGAGAATAACTGTATTTTACACTATTTGATTGATTCCGACACAAGGCGAGGATCGGCTGCTGGGTGATTGTTAGCAGTGTAATGTGACGCACATCCGCATCTCCTATTCTCCTGATGTCTCGAGCCGCTACACATGGAGCAGTGGATGAATATGCTAATGATATGCAGATGAGCAAGGCCGGACTTACCATTGGGCTTGACTGGGCTGCAGCCCATGGGCCCCGCCCAGTAGGGGGCCCCCTCCCTTACCCATTTTAGTTCGTTTGTTTTGTTCAGTTAAACTTGTATATGCCAGATATCCCGAAATTATTAGCCGTATTTCCACTGTCTGGCCATGTGCAAGCGAGGGCTATAATCAGCCCAAAGTAGTGACTTGAGCGCTTGAAAACAAAATCCAATACACTATAGTGCGCGCGCACGCGCCGAACGCGTCTTTCCGCGCTCACGGAGTAGAAAGGCTATAGTTTGAAAGACGGAGGGAAGCACGGAATAAAATACCCGGGCCTTAATATCCTCCGACTGAGAGCTTCGAGGCTATAATCAAACGGCGCAACCTGATATTTATCACAAAGAATAACACGCGTGTTGATCTGCATCTGCTCCATTGCGGTCGGCTACTTTAAACAGCTTCAATTGGGCTTTTAGTCCAAAAGAGCGCACATTTAGAAAAATCTTGATACATTCTCATATGTTCACGTCTCGTTGCTTTAAAGAGAATGATAATTTCTATTTATTTTTTTCACAAAATTATGTGCTCTGGATAATTTTGAGCGCTCTCTCCACTGCCATCACAATATAGGAATATGTCATCAAAATTATAAAACAAAAAAAAAACATTTAGGCCTAACGAGTTCCCGTTTAATGTATTTAAAACACGAGCCTATGATATGTGAGTTATCACACCAGCAAGAGCGCTGATTTTCCGAACATCTGCACAATCGCAAATGTGACATCGGTTCAATCAAAGAAAACAGAACAAACAGCAGAACCGCTGCGCCTCCGAGTAACACGTGCTTTGTTCCTCAAAAAATCTTCATTTTTGACAGAATCAGACAAGTAAATGATTCAATTAGGCTACCCATTCATACATACAGTCGTTTGCTAGATTAAATGAATTAGGATTTTTGAACGAATCGGTTGAATAAAGGATCCAACTCCCTCATTAAGATGGAGACTTGCCGCCACCTACTGGCGGTGTTAGTTTGATAGTTAAAATGGTTTCATAGTTAATTTTTCTCAATCATTTCATATTTCTACATTCAAATTTTTACATTTAAAACATTAATCTCTTAACATAATTTATGCAATTATAATTTGCTGTGTAAATCCATACATGCCATGTCTAAACAGCCTGTGTCAATCCAAAAATGGATTTTATTGATCCCGACTTCCTTTTATTTGGTCATAATAAGCCCTACACCGTGTCTTTGCATTCTGATTGAATTTGTTGACTAAATTTAAGAATCTGACAGATAGCTTTGACAATGAATAAAAAAAATACTGTTTTCTCTTGGCTTTATTATTAGAGTTTTGATCTTATCTCAACCTAGAGAGCACATCCTGCATTATATTGTATTATAATGACTATTTAAAATTAGCCTACCACTAAACTTTGACTATAGGCACATTGCATATTAATTGTTCTAGGAACCTCAAAGCATATTTAAATTTTTGTGCAATTTGTGCTACTCCATAATGATGTTTGTAGCGTATAGGGCCCAAACATAAACTCAAGCCCAGGGGCCCCCAGCCCCCTGAGTCCTGCCCTGCAGATGAGGATACGGTAAACGAGGCGTCGTCAGCTCAGATATGGTTATTTCGGGAGACGCGTTCACACACTCTTCCTCTGACGGGTTATAACGCGGGTCCTGCGCGGGTCTGGCGTACGCACGGGTGTATCGGCCGGAATATGATGTGGCTTTTACACGGACACTTTTAGTGCGGATCCCACACACAGGTTTATAAAGGAGACCCCAGATAACTCTAGATGAATCTGAGCTGGTGTGTGTGTGTGTGTGTGTGTGTGTTACCGCTTGTCAGGGTTCAGATCCGAGCTGTCTTCAGACGAGCCGCTCTTCCTCCTGTCGTCACACTCCTCATCACTCAACATGTTCCTGAACACACACTCCCAAGCTTCACTAACAGATCTCTGGGTCTCTGGGCTGTTGAGGTGCATGTGTCTGAGAGTGTGTGTGAGAGTGTGTGTTTACCTGTCTGAGAGTGTGTGTGAGAGTGTGTGTGAGAGTGTGTGTTTACCTGTCTGAGAGTGTGTGTGAGAGTGTGTGTGAGAGTGTGTGTTTACCTGTCTGAGAGTGTGTGTGAGAGTGTGTGTGAGAGTGTGTGTTTACCTGTCTGAGAGTGTGTGTGAGAGTGTGTGTGAGAGTGTGTGTTTACCTGTCTGAGAGTGTGTGTGAGAGTGTGTGTGTTTACCTGTCTGAGAGTGTGTCTGAGAGTGTGTGTTTACCTGTCTGAGAGTGTGTGTGAGAGTGTGTGTTTACCTGTCTGAGAGTGTGTCTGAGAGTGTGTGTGAGAGTGTGTGTTTACCTGTCTGAGAGTGTGTGTGAGAGTGTGTGTGTTTACCTGTCTGAGAGTGTGTCTGAGAGTGTCTGTGAGAGTGTGTGTGAGAGTGTGTGTGAGAGTGTGTGTGTTTACCTGTCTGAGAGTGTGTGTGAGAGTGTGTGTGTTTACCTGTCTGAGAGTGTGTGTGTGTTTACCTGTCTGAGAGTGTGTGTGAGAGTGTGTGTGAGAGTGTGTGTGAGAGTGTGTGTGAGAGTGTGTGTTTACCTGTCTGAGAGTGTGTGAGAGTGTGTGTTTACCTGTCTGAGAGTGTGTGTGAGAGTGTGTGTGTTTACCTGTCTGAGAGTGTGTGTGAGAGTGTGTGTTTACCTGTCTGAGAGTGTGTGTGAGAGTGTGTGTGACAGTGTGTGTGTTTACCTGTCTGAGAGTGTGTGAGAGTGTGTGTGAGAGTGTGTGTTTACCTGTCTGAGAGTGTGTGTGAGAGTGTGTGTGTTTACCTGTCTGAGAGTGTGTCTGAGAGTGTGTTTACCTGTCTGAGAGTGTGTGTGAGAGTGTGTGTTTACCTGTCTGAGAGTGTGTGTGAGAGTGTGTGTTTACCTGTCTGAGAGTGTGTGTGAGAGTGTGTGTGACAGTGTGTGTGTTTACCTGTCTGAGAGTGTGTGAGAGTGTGTGTGAGAGTGTGTGTTTACCTGTCTGAGAGTGTGTGTGAGAGTGTGTGTGTTTACCTGTCTGAGAGTGTGTCTGAGAGTGTGTCTGAGAGTGTGTGTGAGAGTGTGTGTTTACCTGTCTGAGAGTGTGTGTGAGAGTGTGTGTGAGAGTGTGTGTTTACCTGTCTGAGAGTGTGTGAGAGTGTGTGTGAGAGTGTGTTTACCTGTCTGAGAGTGTGTGTGAGAGTGTGTGTGTTTACCTGTCTGAGAGTGTGTGTGAGAGTGTGTGTTTACCTGTCTGAGAGTGTGTGAGAGTGTGTGTTTACCTGTCTGAGAGTGTGTGTTTACCTGTCTGAGAGTGTGTGAGAGTGTGTGTTTACCTGTCTGAGAGTGTGTGTGAGAGTGTGTGTGAGAGTGTGTGTTTACCTGTCTGAGAGTGTGTGAGAGTGTGTGTTTACCTGTCTGAGAGTGTGTGAGAGTGTGTGTTTACCTGTCTGAGAGTGTGTGTGAGAGTGTGTGTGAGAGTGTGTGTGAGAGTGTGTGTTTACCTGTCTGAGAGTGTGTGTGAGAGTGTGTGTTTACCTGTCTGAGAGTGTGTCTGAGAGTGTCTGTGAGAGTGTGTGTTTACCTGTCTGAGAGTGTGTGTGTGTTTACCTGTCTGAGAGTGTGTGTGAGAGTGTGTGTGAGAGTGTGTGTGAGAGTGTGTGTTTACCTGTCTGAGAGTGTGTGAGAGTGTGTGTGAGAGTGTGTGTTTACCTGTCTGAGAGTGTGTGTGAGAGTGTGTGTGTTTACCTGTCTGAGAGTGTGTCTGAGAGTGTGTGTTTACCTGTCTGAGAGTGTGTGTGTGTTTACCTGTCTGAGAGTGTGTGTGAGAGTGTGTGTGAGAGTGTGTGTGAGAGTGTGTGTTTACCTGTCTGAGAGTGTGTGAGAGTGTGTGTGAGAGTGTGTGTTTACCTGTCTGAGAGTGTGTGTGAGAGTGTGTGTGTTTACCTGTCTGAGAGTGTGTGTGAGAGTGTGTGTTTACCTGTCTGAGAGTGTGTGTGAGAGTGTGTGTGACAGTGTGTGTGTTTACCTGTCTGAGAGTGTGTGAGAGTGTGTGTGAGAGTGTGTGTTTACCTGTCTGAGAGTGTGTGTGAGAGTGTGTGTGTTTACCTGTCTGAGAGTGTGTCTGAGAGTGTGTTTACCTGTCTGAGAGTGTGTGTGAGAGTGTGTGTTTACCTGTCTGAGAGTGTGTGTGAGAGTGTGTGTTTACCTGTCTGAGAGTGTGTGTGAGAGTGTGTGTGACAGTGTGTGTGTTTACCTGTCTGAGAGTGTGTGAGAGTGTGTGTGAGAGTGTGTGTTTACCTGTCTGAGAGTGTGTGTGAGAGTGTGTGTGTTTACCTGTCTGAGAGTGTGTCTGAGAGTGTGTCTGAGAGTGTGTGTGAGAGTGTGTGTTTACCTGTCTGAGAGTGTGTGTGAGAGTGTGTGTGAGAGTGTGTGTTTACCTGTCTGAGAGTGTGTGAGAGTGTGTGTGAGAGTGTGTTTACCTGTCTGAGAGTGTGTGTGAGAGTGTGTGTGTTTACCTGTCTGAGAGTGTGTGTGAGAGTGTGTGTTTACCTGTCTGAGAGTGTGTGTGAGAGTGTGTGTGAGAGTGTGTGTTTACCTGTCTGAGAGTGTGTGAGAGTGTGTGTTTACCTGTCTGAGAGTGTGTGAGAGTGTGTGTTTACCTGTCTGAGAGTGTGTGAGAGTGTGTGTTTACCTGTCTGAGAGTGTGTGTGAGAGTGTGTGTGAGAGTGTGTGTTTACCTGTCTGAGAGTGTGTGAGAGTGTGTGTTTACCTGTCTGAGAGTGTGTGAGAGTGTGTGTTTACCTGTCTGAGAGTGTGTGTGAGAGTGTGTGTGAGAGTGTGTGTTTACCTGTCTGAGAGTGTGTGTGAGAGTGTGTGTTTACCTGTCTGAGAGTGTGTGTGAGAGTGTGTGTTTACCTGTCTGAGAGTGTGTGTGAGAGTGTGTGTTTACCTGTCTGAGAGTGTGTGTGAGAGTGTGTGTTTACCTGTCTGAGAGTGTGTGTGAGAGTGTGTGTTTACCTGTCTGAGAGTGTGTGTGAGAGTGTGTGTTTACCTGTCTGAGAGTGTGTGAGAGTGTGTGTTTACCTGTCTGAGAGTGTGTGAGAGTGTGTGTTTACCTGTCTGAGAGTGTGTGTGAGAGTGTGTGTTTACCTGTCTGAGAGTGTGTGTGAGAGTGTGTGTGAGAGTGTGTGTTTACCTGTCTGAGAGTGTGTGTGAGAGTGTGTGTTTACCTGTCTGAGAGTGTGTGTGAGAGTGTGTGTTTACCTGTCTGAGAGTGTGTCTGAGAGTGTGTGTTTACCTGTCTGAGAGTGTGTGTGAGAGTGTGTGTTTACCTGTCTGAGAGTGTGTGTGAGAGTGTGTGTTTACCTGTCTGAGAGTGTGTGTGAGAGTGTGTCTGAGAGTGTGTGTTTACCTGTCTGAGAGTGTGTGTGAGAGTGTGTGTTTACCTGTCTGAGAGTGTGTGTGAGAGTGTGTGTTTACCTGTCTGAGAGTGTGTGTGAGAGTGTGTGTTTACCTGTCTGAGAGTGTGTGTGAGAGTGTGTGTTTACCTGTCTGAGAGTGTGTGTGAGAGTGTGTGTTTACCTGTCTGAGAGTGTGTGTGTGAGAGTGTGTGTGAGATTGTGTTTACCTGTCTGAGAGTGTGTGTGAGAGTGTGTGTTTACCTGTCTGAGAGTGTGTGTGAGAGTGTGTGTTTACCTGTCTGAGAGTGTGTGTGAGAGTGTGTGTTTACCTGTCTGAGAGTGTGTGTGAGAGTGTGTCTGAGAGTGTGTGTTTACCTGTCTGAGAGTGTGTGTGAGAGTGTGTGTTTACCTGTCTGAGAGTGTGTGTGAGAGTGTGTGTTTACCTGTCTGAGAGTGTGTGTGTGAGAGTGTGTGTGAGATTGTGTTTACCTGTCTGAGAGTGTGTGTGAGAGTGTGTGTTTACCTGTCTGAGAGTGTGTGTGAGAGTGTGTGTTTACCTGTCTGAGAGTGTGTGTGAGAGTGTGTGTTTACCTGTCTGAGAGTGTGTGTGAGAGTGTGTCTGAGAGTGTGTGTTTACCTGTCTGAGAGTGTGTGTGAGAGTGTGTGTTTACCTGTCTGAGAGTGTGTGTGAGAGTGTGTGTTTACCTGTCTGAGAGTGTGTGTGAGTGTGTGTTTACCTGTCTGAGAGTGTGTCTGAGAGTGTGTGTTTACCTGTCTGAGAGTGTGTGTGAGAGTGTGTGTTTACCTGTCTGAGAGTGTGTGTGAGTGTGTGTTTACCTGTCTGAGAGTGTGTCTGAGAGTGTGTGTTTACCTGTCTGAGAGTGTGTGTGAGAGTGTGTGTTTACCTGTCTGAGAGTGTGTGTGAGTGTGTGTTTACCTGTCTGAGAGTGTGTCTGAGAGTGTGTGTTTACCTGTCTGAGAGTGTGTGTGAGAGTGTGTGTTTACCTGTCTGAGAGTGTGTGTGAGAGTGTGTGTTTACCTGTCTGAGAGTGTGTCTGAGAGTGTGTGTTTACCTGTCTGAGAGTGTGTGTGAGAGTGTGTGTTTACCTGTCTGAGAGTGTGTGTGAGAGTGTGTGTTTACCTGTCTGAGAGTGTGTGTGAGAGTGTGTTTACCTGTCTGAGAGTGTGTGTGAGAGTGTGTGTTTACCTGTCTGAGAGTGTGTGTGAGAGTGTGTGTTTACCTGTCTGAGAGTGTGTGTGAGAGTGTGTGTTTACCTGTCTGAGAGTGTGTCTGAGAGTGTGTGTTTACCTGTCTGAGAGTGTGTGTGAGAGTGTGTGTTTACCTGTCTGAGAGTGTGTGTGAGAGTGTGTGTTTACCTGTCTGAGAGTGTGTGTGAGAGTGTGTGTTTACCTGTCTGAGAGTGTGTCTGAGAGTGTGTGTTTACCTGTCTGAGAGTGTGTGTTTACCTGTCTGAGAGTGTGTGTGAGAGTGTGTGTTTACCT